CATATCTAAGTTCTCAAATATTTGAAGACATCTGTTATGTTTCTACTTCTTATCTTAATTTTCCCCTTTCCTGGTTAAACATCCCCTAGTTCCTTATAAGACATAGCTTCTGCACCTTTCACCACTCTTGTCACATCTATATACCTAGTTTGTCACCGTCCTTAAAACATGGCACCCAGAGCCAAGCATATTTCTTTTTTTTTTTTTGGTGAGGCAATTGGGGTTAAGTGACTTGTCCAGAGTCACACAGTTAGTAAGTGTCAAGTGTCTGAGGCTGGATTTGAACTCAGGTCTTCACGACTCCAAAGCCAGAGCTCTATCCACTGCGTCACCTAGCTGCCCCCAAGCACATTTCTCTAGAGGTGTTCTGAACAGTGGTAGGGAGCTGGCCATCAGTTCCACCTTCCTTTCATGGGTCCCAACTATAGACAGCTCCTCTCCTCCAGTACAGTGATTGTTGCCTCCCATGATCTGAATGCTAGACTTACTTAATGTAGTCTAAGACTGTTGGTGGTATTTGCATTTCTTGCACCAGGCATAGAGTAGGTGCTTAATTAAAGCTTGTTGATTGATAATTATTTTTAGCAACTACATCATGTTGTTGGTTCATATTGAGATTATGAACCACTAAAACCCTCCATAATAGCACTAGGAATTGGGTGGGAAGGTGGTGACTTTGAAATGTTACACCCAGATTTCATTTTTTTTAACCAATACTCAATGAGTCAATAGAAAGCATCCTTAAATGTCCCCTCCTCACTCTCCACAGGAATTAAGATAGGAAAGTTAAATAAAGTTAGTTAAGTACAAGTATAGGAAGGGAGTGGGGGAGGTAGTACCGCGAATTTGGGAATGTAGTGCTTCCAAGTCTCAGGAATAGGTACAAATTGGCCTGCCTCTGAGAAGAACACTCACCAACACTAGCCTCCCCTATGGTATAAGTCTTCCCTGAGCCAGTCTGACCATAGGCAAATACAGTTACATTGAAACCCTCGAAGAAAGCCTCTAGAAGAGGCTGCACACAGGTCTGGTACACCATTTCCTGACCCGACATCTCTGCAAACACCACATCGAAATCGAAGGACCGATTTCGGCCCAGGATGACCCGACATTCCTCTGGTTCCACCTGCAGGCAGCTCTGATGTCCGTGTAGTAGCTCTTTGGGCAAAAGGGGCCTGACACGAAGGGCCACTCTCACGGCCGTCTCCTCCGCCTTAGCTGGAACTGGGGCTTCCAGTCCCATAGTTAGGGCATTCCACAGCTCACTGTTACAGAGAAGAGAAAAGAGAAGAGAGCTCCTTACCCAACAATGCAGTGAGTACCTGCCCACTGCAGGTTAATAAGTGTTTGTTGAATTAATGCATCTTGTAGCAAAAGACAGTTTCTAGGAGTGATTCTTCCTTTGATTTGCTATTGGGCCAGTCATTTAACTTCTCTAGAATGAATTTAAGAGCTTTAATCAACTCCATGACCATGATTCCAGAAAACCAATGATGAAGGATGTTTCCTATCTCTTGACAGAAAGGTGATGGACTCAAGATGCAGAATGAGACAGTTTTGGACAAGACCAATGTAAAAAGTTGTTTTGCTTGACCATGCATATTTGTTAAAAAGGTTTTATTGTGTTTTGTTTCGCCTTGCTTTCCTAGGGTGAGAGTAGTGAGAGGGAGAGAAAAAGATAAAAAATTTAATTTAAAGCTTCCCTAGGGCTCAGGTTAAGACAGCAAGAAACACAATGGAAATTGCTCCAAAGAGAACTTTGTGAAGCCCCACAATATTCATATGCCTCCAGGACACATGAAAAGAATAGAAAGTAAGAAATCAATTAAAAAGGGATAGAGCTGACTGCACCTAAGCAGCGAACAGTAGCAACTAGGTTACTACTGTCCTAGCTATGGTGACCACTGTCCTGTCCTAGCTACGTCATAGAGATGTGTACATGATAAAATGTAGCTCAGATTTTCACAGCCCTCCCCCAGGCGTCTAAAGCACTATAGAAATGCAAGGTTTTGTTGTTATTCTTACAAAGCTTGGTTTAGGAACGCAATCAATAAGGTAGGCTGAACTCCACAAGTCTGGAACTACTTCTCAAAGCAGATCAGGGAACCCCACCCGTCCCCTCATCGCCACCCCCCCTTCCACCCCCTTTCAGGAAGGGCTAATAGTGGGGCTCACCCAGAGGATTCCAGAGCCCAAGTGCGCCTGCTGCGTGGGGTCGTGTGGATCCGCAGCCCTGCTGCGACTCTCTGGCTGCTTCCTCACCACCGTGCAGTTCCGAAGTTTCCCCAACTTTTACAAACCAGCAGCAGGGATCTAGGGCCGCTCCGCTCCGCCCGTCCAGGCCAGGGCCAGCGCCAGCCCAGGACTGCGGGGAGGAAAGAAAAGCTCCCTCGCTGGCCCCGCTGGTCCAGCCCTTCACAGTCAACGTGTCACCTCCACTCCCAGGGCCAGTTGCGGGCGCCAGGAGAAGGCTCCGCGGGCAGTCCCCCCAGGATAGGACGACGGCGCTGATCAGTGAACTGGCTCCCGGTACCCCATTAAAGCCTGGACCCGGGACGCTGCAACAGCCGCAGAGATGCAGAAGCAGCTACCATCCTCTCCCCATTCCCCTTAACTTTCTGCCCTGGGCCTCCGGCCCATACCCTACCTGCTCCCGGACTGGCCCTCAAGCCTTCCTTAGTCCAGCCGGTCAAACTTGGGACCTGGGGTCGCCTCGGCGCAACCTGATGCCGTCATCTCGCCCCCCTCACCCTAAAAAATCCCGCCCCCCTTCCCTCAATCCCTCGGTTCAGCCCACTGTGGAGAGAGGGAGGAGAATGGAGGAGGCGGGCACTGACCTTTCCCAGGGATTCGGGGGCCACATTGGGGAAGCTACGTCTTGTGGAGAGCAGGGACCAAATTGGAGGACAGAGGCAGAGTTTGGGGAAATCTAAAAAAGATGGGAAGATAGGGCAACTGACATAACACTGTGGATGAGGAAACTAAGGCCCCCAAAGTGACTTGCCTAAGGTCATACAGCTAGCAAGTGGCAGAGACAAGACTTGTGACCATAAATCTCGTGTTTGTCCACTATCCTAAGCTGCCTCTAAGAAAGATGTAGGGAGAGAATGCGGAAGAGAGAACTGGAGAGAGCCAAAATGGGAGGGCCTGGCAGCTCTAAAGGAGACCAGTCTTGACAGGCACTAAAAAGGTCTGTCACACTTCAGAACACACACACACACACACACACACACACCCTCTACCATTCATCCCTAAAGCACATAATCCCTTCCTCATCACACTATCCCTTCCTGCTATGTGAGCATTCTACGTTAATGGGGCCTCAGAAATAGTTTGATTTTTTTGAGAAGCCTAAAAATGTAAGTAATTGGGGGAAGAGGGTGGGTTCCATTTGGAATCCAGATATTCCAGAGTAGGGCAATGCCCCCTAGCTGCCAGTTGGTTACAACTGCATTCTTTCCACAACCACTTTCCACAACTTGCTCAGTTGGGAAATTCTTTGATTCACCCACAGTATTCCCATTACATCTCAGAAGTCACACAGTCAGACAACAGCAGTGCCCTGGTTATTTGTAAAGCCTTTCCCCGGTCTTTGTATCAGTCCGTAGGAAACACAGTGCCACGAAAAAATAGGGGTTGAATAAATGTTAGTTGGTGCTGCCAGTGCTAAGAGCAAGCCTGGTGTAGTGAATAAAGGGATGGACTTGAAATTAGGAAAAAGTGGTTCCAATTGTGCCTCATACTCTTACCACTAGTCCTAAGCCAAACACTTTTTCTAGCCCCAATTTCCCCAACTTTTTAATAACAGCCCCTACCTGAGAGGGCTGAGGTGAGGGCTTGAATGAGATAACATATGTAAAGTGCTTTGTATTATTATTATAAAGAAATGTAAAGGCAAATGCTGAAAGGATGGTTTTCCTCATAAGCTATTCATGGATCCAACGGAAAACAGCCCCCCAAAAAGGTCTGAGAAAAACCAGTCAGTATCATGGAGCTTCAGGGACCTGAGTTAATCCAGTCTTTTACAGATCAATCAATCAACAAGTGATTATTAAATACCTACTATGTTCCTGGCACTGGGGATACAAGGACAAAAGCAGACCAATCCTTGCCCTCAAGGCATTTACATTCTGACAGGGGAACAACAAGCCCGTAAGTAGGGGTACACAAAACACATACAAAGCAGATAAAACATGAGTTCAGAGTGGTAAGGGTGGAAATGGGGAAGATACTAGCAGGTGGAGAATCAGGAAAAGTCTGATGCAGAAGGTGGTCCTTGAGGTGACACTTAAAACCAGAGAAAGGGAAGGAAAGGGACATTTGTACAAAGAAAACAATGTATTTGAAGGTTTTCCTAAAGAGGAAAAAGAAGATTTAATGCAACTAGGTGGCACAGTGGGTAGAGTTCTGGGCCTGGAGTCAAGAAGACCTGAGTTCAAATTTGACCTCAGACACTAACTGCATGACCCTAGGCAAGTTATTTGACCTCTGTCTGCCTCCATTTCTTCAACTGTAAAATGAAGATCATAATAGCACATATCTACTTAAGGAGTTGTGAGGATCAAATGAGATAATATTTGTAAAATACTTAGGACAGTGCCTGGCACATAGTAGGAGCTTAACAAATGCTTGTTTCTTGTATTCCAAAGAGTGATCTAGAATAGCCACAGAAGCTATGAACTGAGACATCATTCAGAAATGGGCAGAGAAAGAAAAAGAAAAATAGTAGTAGTTTGTTAGGGCCCTGCTCTGGACCTCTGGCCTCCTGTAGGGAAGTTGAGACGCCTGGGCTTGCGAGACGCCTGGGGGTGGTACCTGCCAGGAACGCCTAGCTGCCCAGAGACGCGGATGGGTACTGGGAGGGCCTCTGTAACGGGAGGGAGCTCCACCTACGAAGGAGGAACGGAGGAGGAGCACGGGCGTAGGGGGGAGGAGTTCGAGGGAGTTGAATAAGCAGCGAGGAGGGGGCGGAGGGGGAGACTTGTGCAGGGAGTGAGCAGAGCAAGTAGTAGTATAGCAAGCTATGTAATCAATAAAGACGCAACTGCCAACTCGGGTGTTCTATCTAGTCATTCCCCTCTCACCACGGAGGGGCCAGAGACGTCTGAAGACTGCAGGGTGAGTATGCAAGCGAAGGCTTGGGTGGGATAGCTGACTAAGTGCACAACGTCAGCTAAGGGACCCACGGGCACGCAACAGTAGTTGGTCATTCCCTGTTCAGGATTCTTCAACTTAACAAGTTCATTGTCTTCCTGGGGCACGTAAGCAAGCCATAACAAAGAACCACCTGAGACTAATAAAAATGACAACCACCACCAACTTCTGGTGATTCCCATGAGCACGAATAACACTTCCTGAAGGACCCTAAAGTGTTGTCAATGATTAAAAAGTCTTGGGCAAGAAACTGAAGACCCAGAGGGCACTCACAGACTGCTTTTGTCCCCCCTGTCAATTGAAGGTAAGGATATAGAGAAGAGGAAAATTAATTTGGGAAGTGAAAAGTAGGCTAGGAAGGTGCTATCTGAGAATGAGATTTGGATTTCTGCCTCAGCTTACAATACAGAATTGAAAGATTCTTGGCCAGAGATAGCCAAGATTTGGTTTTTTTTGTTGTTGTTGTTTAGGCAATTGGGGTTAAGTGGCTTGCCCAGGGTCACACAGCTAGTAAGTGGCAAGTGTTTGGTCCGAGGCCGCATTTGAACTCAGGTCCTCCTGTCTTCAGGACTGGTGCTCTATCCACTGTGCCACCTAGCTGCCCCCGATTTGTTTTCTTTTGTTTTGTTTTTTAACTGGAAAAATAGACTTTGTTTTAACTAGTGGTATTGTGTGACATCCTACGCAGTGGAACTGATTGCAGCAAAAGTTCATGGATGCAAATAAAAGAGTAGTCTCTCCCTTGTTCTGTCTCCCAGGGTGTCCTCTTCAGAGGACTTGGAGATGGGAGAGATGGCGGTCAGACACCACGGAGCTCTCCAGCAACATCCAGTTAAAGTCCAGACTTCTGGGACATGCATTGTCTCAACACATGTGGTGCGCATGCACACACACACACACACAGACATAAGCTTTATTTGTGGTGGCAAAAATTAAAAATGGAAACTAAGGGGATAACCATCAATTGGAGAATTGCTAAATGAATTGTAGTATGTGACTGTAGTGGAATATGATTGTGCTGTAAGAAATGAGGAAACAGATGATTTCAAAGAGACATGGAAATACATGTATGAATTGAGGCAAAGAGAAGTGAGAAGAACCAGAGGAACAATTTATACTATAACATCAAAATAACAAAACTAAACAATTTTGAAGACTTACATGATCTTATGAAGAATGAAATGGGTAGAACCAGGAGAACAATTCATACAATAGCAGCAATACCCTAGAAACATACAACTTTGAAAGCTATAAGAATTCTGATCAACATAGAGACCATGCATGATTCCAGAGGACCAATAATGAAGCATACTAAATCACCTCTTGACAGAGAGATAATGGACTCGGGAGGTAGATTGAAACATTTATTTTTTGGACATGGTGAAGGAATTTATTTTACTTGACTATGCATATTTGTTAAAAGGATTTTTTTCCCCAATGAAATAGAATAGAAAAGAAAAAATAGATTTCTATTAATTAAAAATTTTTTTTAAAAGATACTGTAAAGAGTAGCCACAAGGATATAATAAGAATAGCACCTGAGATTCCCAGAAATTCATAGAATATAAAATAAAAAAAAAGATCCAGAAGAAAAATCCATGGCCTCACATGTTACACAAATTTGAAGTATCTATCCCTGAGACTTGTTCAAATTAAACACATGAGAGGTAAGGTTGCATTATATATTAAGTAAGTATACTTGTGAGGAAATCCAAGAACTATTGAAGGGGCAGCATGGAGAAGAATATTTGGATAAAAGTCAAAGAAGGGAAAAACAGAAGTGTTTTCCCTTCACTCAGGTACTCTACTGACTATCTGGAGAGAAAGAGGGAATAGATGAGGAGTCTGATCCAGAGTGACATCAGTGATAGGAGACTATTGGACATTTTTAACTAGATGTCCCATAAATAATAGAGAGAAGCTGCTCCATTCTTGTATTGTTTTTATATTCTCTCCAAAAAAGAATGACCTGGAAAGGACAAAACAAAAATGACCAACAGGAAATGAGAGACAGCATCCTAAAGTAGGTGTGATGGCTCAGTCATTGTCAATCTTCTTCAAAAGATGTAGAAAATGAGAACACTGCAAAGTTGGAGGATAGATATCCCAATTTAAAAAAAAAAAAAGGAAAAGAACAGAGTCACCAATTAATTATATACTACTGAACTTGACTTCAATTCCAGGGAAACTTACAGAATGTATTATTAAAGAGACAGTTGGCAAACATCTAGAAAAGAAACCCATGATTATGAAGAGCCAACATGACTTCATTAAGAACGACTCATTTCTTTGGACATAGCCCAATTTCTTCCACTTTTGGACTAGGGGGGACAAGATTATTAAACCAATGAGGAAAATGCTGAGAATATAGTTTACCTGGATTTGAGCAAAGTTCTTTATATTGTTGAAAGTTGATCTGGGGGAGAACATAATTGATTCCATTTTGTCATATATTTGCAACTTTTCTTTTTTCTTTCTATTGTGATGCCTCTTTGGTATGTATTGAATGCCTCCCTATACCTCCCTTCCGCCTAATAGCTTTATAACTAACAACAATAAAAAAACCTCAGAGGATCTCAATAGTTCAAGGAAGTCAATCCCCTTCCTTCTCTTTATCTCATCTAATAAAACCCTTAGTTGGCCCTTAACAAAAGCTTATTGACTGGCTGACTCTCCCTCTCCCTCTCCCTCTGGTATAAATGACTTTGGTAGCAAATGACTTTGCTAGCAAGGACACATTCTTTCCTTCATAACAAGCGCTAAGTATCCTCTTTTTTTTTTAATTAAGTTTTTTTCTTGCCTACATGCTGTACTTTCTCTCTCTCTCTCTCTCTCTCTTTTTTTTGGCTAGGCAATGGAATTAAGTGACTTGCCCAGGGTCACACAGCTAGTAAGTGCCTGAGGTTGGATTTGAACTCAGGTCCTTCTTACTCCAGGGCTGGTGCTCTATCCACTGTGCCACCTAGCTGCCCCATGCTATGCTTTCTCTTACCAAAACTGCTTTATAAGAAACTTTATCTCACATAGCTCAGTAGGAGAGAGAAACATATACACACACACACCCATAGATCTATCTTATATATGTGTATATATCTATACTTATATACACGTACACATATATACATGTGAGACAGATAATAGATCTATATATGTAGATATATAGATATAGATACACATATTTGTTCCCTCATTTCTTAATAGTATTCCATTACATTCACATGGCACAATTTGTTCAGCCATTCCCTAATTGATGGGTGTGTGTGTGTGTGTGTGTGTGTGTGTGTGTGTGTGTAGAGAGAGTTGAGTATACACACACACACACACACACATATGTCACCTGCAGAATAATAAGACACAAATATCCATCACCTACTAATGGTGTGTGTCACACTCTTGAGTGAATGAACTGCATTTTCCCTGTCTGTCTGAATCCTGCGTTGGCTTATTCAGGCAGTAGTTAATATGGACCCTAAAAACCCTCACACTAATTTTTCATACTGTTCTTTTGGGATAGATGGAGAAATATGGATTAGGCAATAACACAATCAGATCCTTTCAGAACTGGTTGGATGACCAGTCTCAAAGAGTAGTTATTAATGGTTCAACATCAATGTACTGGGAGGTCTCCAGTGAAATACCTCAAGGATCTATGCCTGGCCCTATGCTGTTCAACATTTTATCAGTTCAGATCAATAAACATTTATTAAATACCTACTATGTTCCAGGCACTGTTCCAAGCACTGAGGATAATGGATAAGAAAAAGAAAGATAGTCTCTGCCCTCAAGGAGCTTACAATCTAACAGCAGAAGCCAACACAAAAGGAAGCTGGAAAGGAGTGGAGCCTCTAGAGGGTACCTGGTACTAGGGCATGACCTTCCACGGAGTGGAAATCAAGCAGAGCCACTGATGAAAAATGGAGAGTTACTTGCAAAGCTCTAGGCTTTGGGTGGCCTTTCTTGCTCCACCCTCCAATCCTCTAATCCAAGAGCATTAAGAAGGTGTTGAGTATCAAAAACTGAGCAAATCTGCATGGTTATGAGATTTCGGGTGATCTGCTTATCCTGGAGGAGGCATGATGTTTTGTAGAGTAGAAGCCAAGCAGAGCTGCTAATGGAAAATGGAAAGTCATTATGCATTGCCTTGCCTAATGGCATCTATGGTATGCTCATCACATTTGCAGATGACCCAAAGCTGAGAGGGACAGCTAACATCCTGGGTGACAGAATCAGGATCCAAAAGGATCTTGATAGGCTGGAACCTTGGGCTGAATCTGGCAAGAAGAAACTCAATAGAAATAAATGCAATGTCTTGTACTTGATTACCAAAAAAAAAAAAAAAAATCAACTTTATGAGTATAAGATGGGACAGGCCTAGTTAGAAAGCAGCTGTTCTGAAAAAGAACTTGGATTTCAAGGTCAAAATAAATACCAGATCAGCCGTGTGATCTGGTAGCCAATTTTTTTTTCCAATTCTGATATTTGTAGAGACCTGAACATTTAGGAAGGGTTTTTTTTTTAGTTCATTTTGGATAAAGGCCCATTTTTCTGTCAATGTTTAGAGAATCTTATGTTGTATCAGCAACATGATAGTGGAGCTTCCTGGTATAAATGATATGTTTTAAAGGAATATCCAATACATAAGAGGCAGTCAGGCTTAAGTGACTTGCCCAGGGTCACACAGCTAGTATGTATTGGAGACTGGATTTGAACTCAGGTCCTCCTGACTCCATGGCTGGTATTCTATCCACTATGCCACCTGGCTGTCCTAGTAGCCAAAATTTAATATGATCTTGGGGATTGGCAGGTAGGAGACAGGGAATATAGCTTATAAGAATATAGATTATAGGGGGCGGAGCCAAGATGGCAGAGGGAAAGCAGTGACTTGTTTGAGCTCTCCCCCAAACCTCTCCAAATACTTGTAAAAAAATGGCTCTAAACAAATTCTAAAGCAGCAGAACCCACAAAAAGGCAGAGTGAAACAAATTTCCAGCCCAAGACAACCTGGATGGTTGATCGGAAAGGTCTGTTGTGCCAGGCGGGGAGAGGAGCACAGTTTGGTGTAGGTGCGCAGGCCACAGAGACACTGGAGCAGGCCTCAGAGGGCTGAATCGTGGGCAGCTGTGGTGATTTCTAGACTTCTCAACCCACGAACACCGAAGACAACTTAGAAGGTCAGTGGAAAAAGTCTGTGACCGGCGGTGAGAGTTAGAAGCTAGGTCTCAGCTGCAAGTCCCGAGCGCGGGCCGCGGCTGCCTCCTGAGCTTCTGGCCCACAGACTGAGGGGGAATTGAGTGGCTGATCAGAGGGAGATTGCAGGGATCTCTTTACCTGTGCTGACACAGGAATCTCTTGCTTTGCTGGTGCTTGGATCTGGGTCACAGTTCTGAGGGGCGGTCCTGGGGCAAGGAAGAGCGCTGGCGTGGTGGAGCTTGTTGTGGCGGTGGAGAGAAAACACCTCGTCCCTTATCATACCACCTTGGAAGAACTAAAAATTTACAGGTCCCTAGACGTATCTCTGAAAACACCTGTACAAATGCCTGAAGCGTGGAACAGTACATTCTCCACATTGGAAGCAGACTTTTACCTTAACAAAGAGTTTAAAACTCAAGTAATTGGCTGGGATCATGAGTAAGCAGCGCAAAAAGAATCAGACTATATTATCTTACTTTGGTGACAAAGAAGATCAAAACATACAAACAGAAGAAGACAGCAAAATCAAAGCTCCTACATCCAAAGCCTCCAAGAAAAATATGAATCAGTCCCAGGCCTTGGAAGAGCTCAAAAAGGATTTTAAGAAGCAAGTAAGAAAACAAACAAACAAAAAAATACAAGAAACCTTTAGGAGCAGCTAGGTGGAACAGTGGATAGAACACCAGCCCTGAAGTCAGGAGTACCTGAGTTCAAATCCAGCCTCAGACCAAACACTTGACACTTATTAGCTGTGTGACCCTAAGCAAGTCACTTAACCCCAATTGCCTAAAAACAAACCAAAAAAAAAAATACAAAATACAAGAAGCAAGTAAGAGAAGTAGAGGAAAAACTGGGAAGAGAAATGAGAGTGATGCAAGAAAACCATGAAAAACAAGTCAACAGCTTGCTAAAGGAGACCCAAAAAAATACTGAAGAAAATAACACCTTAAAAAATAGGCTAACCCAAATGGCAAAAGAGGTCCAAAAAGCCAATGAGGAGAAGAATGCCCTAAAAAGCAAAATTGGGCAAATGGAAAAGGAAGTCTAAAAGATTACTGAAGAAAATACTTCCTTAAAAATTAGAATAGAGCAATTGGAAGCTAGTGACTTTATGAGAAATCAAGACACTGTAAAACAAATCCAAAAGAATGAAAAATTAGAAAACAATGTGAAATATCTCATTGGAAAAACAACTGACCTGGAAAATAGATCCAGGAGAGAGAATTTAAAAATTATTGGATTATCTGAAAGCCATGATCAAAAAAAGAGCCTAGACATCATCTTTCAAGAAATTATCAAGGAAAACTGCACTGATATTTTAGAACCAGAGGGCAAAATAGAAAGGGAAAGAACCCACTGATCTCCTCCTGAAAGAGATCCCCAAAGGAAAACTCCTAGGAATATTGTAGCCAAATTCCAGAGTTCCCAGGTCAAGGAGAAAATATTACAAGCAGCCAGAAGGAAACAATTCAAGCATTGTGGAAACACAATCAAGATAACACAAGATTTAGCAGCTTCTGCATTAAGGGACTGCAGGGCATAGAATATAGTATTCCGGAGGGCAAAGGAGATAGGATTACAACCAAGAATCACCTACCCAGCAAAACTGAGTATAATCATTCAGGGGAAAAAAATGGTCATTCAGTGAAATAGAGGACTTTCAAGCATTCTTGATGAAAAGACCAGAGCTGCATAGAAAATTTGACTTTCAAATACAAGACTCAAGTGCAACATGAAGAGGTAAACAGGAAAGAGAAATCATAAGACTCATTAAGGTTGAACTGTTTACATTCCTGCATGGAAAGATGATATTTGTAACTCATGAGACCTTTGACAGTATTAGGGTAATTGGAAGGAAAAAATTATATGTATGTATAGATAGATAGATAGATAGATAGATAGATAGATAGATAGATAGATA